TTACAATGACCCTGGTTATTCAGATTAATTTTCGCTTCCTTATTTTTAGGTATTTTATTACCATTTATGATTACTCTATCTCATGCTGAAGTAATGGCAGTCACACTTCTTACACCCTGATTTCATTCGAAGAATTCATTGATCTGTCTCATCTCATTGACACACAAGAGAGCAGGACTGCAGCAGGATGATATTTTACATATTATGTAAAATATCATCCAATGAGGGTGTAAGAAGTTTGACTGACATTACTTCAGCATGAGATAGAGTAATCATAAATGAACAAATAAGTTGTATATTACAGGGACGTAAGATTAACAGTTTTCAAAATACAGCGAGTATTAATATTGGGGAGTTTCATCACAACGTGACAACAGCGCTTAACCTGCTGATGCATACCACGTGTGCACGCGGCAAATTTGTACTATGGAAAAAATGTAAACAACTACTATTGTGAAACATTTAGTAAATTTCAAGACAATTGTTTTCCAGTTTTTAAATAAATAAAACGTATCGATTTTGTACTACGAATGTAGTGTTGTGCTTAAATCTTATCTCGAATTTTAGTAACTATGAATCTCTTAAAACAAGAACTTAACTTTTAATCAAATTATGTATTTTAAAAATATATAATTAAAGTACCCAAAGATTCACGTCGTCCAAATAATCATACGTATTAAAAATAATTTAGGTTACCTACTTACCAAAAAGTAAAATTTAGTAATTTTTAAACGGACAAGTACAAAACAAACTACATGTGCTCAAAATGTCCACCACCAATTTCGATGCACCTCAAGAAAAGGAAATAGTGGTTTGCAATAAACACTCCGACAGGGTCGAATCCAGATACGAACTGAATTGTGTTAATAAACGGCCGCGCCGTTGTCACATTGATCATTATAAATTTTATCGAATTTTAAATATTACAACGCTAATTATTTTTCAGAATTAAGCATAAAGAAGTTCAAAAAATGTGTTCAAACATTATATTTTATGATATTCTATGCACGCAGTTATGTCAATATTCCTTAATTAATTTTTGTACATCAAGTTGGAGATTTTAATAATTTTTTTCTCGGAAATGGTTAAATTTGGGACTCATGGCATATAAGCTGTTTTTTGTTTATTTTAATGTATTCTATCGTTTGTTAAAATTAATGCAGTCAAATTTCTGACACCTTGTGCATATCACAAATGTTAATCATCAACGTAAACTTATTCAAATATTAATTCTAAAGACTTCGGCACATGAAACGCGATCTGACGCGATCTAGTAACGCCACACAAAGCGCAGCGACTTCGCAAGTGGTTCAACAAAAAAACCCTTACATTAACTAGTTTCTTGTTGAAAAAAAAATATAATAAATGACTGCCAACGTGACAAACCACGTTATGTGTGCGGAAGGCTTAATACCCCACAGGGCGTTTCATTACTAGATCTCTGACCATTGCCACAGAATATCCTTGTAGTTAGGATCTTCTGTGCCATCGTGAAAACCTGCGATCTATATACTGAAGCCTTTAATTGTAAACTCTGATGCAAGAAAGGAATAGGCGCCAATAAGGAAATTTTTTATTTAATTGTTACATCTGAGTCAAAATAATGTTCTTATAAATTATGGGCCGAGTTGAATTTTTGCTGGGAAAAGCAGAACAGGAAGTCAGTTCTTATCGATAAAGATGAAATTATTTGTTGGCGAAGATCCTACTTAAGATCAATTAGAAAATTCCGTGACGAAGGGAGGAATATTTATTATCTAGACGAAACTTGGGTCAACGGGGGATATACTGTAACAAAAGTATGGCAAGATAAAAATGTAAAAAGTTTTCGACAAGCATTTTTGGATGGACTTTCAACAGGGTTCAAGGCACCTTCAGGTAAAGGGCGAAGATTAATAGTGACACATGCCAGTGGTTTTGTAGATGGCGGTTTACTTTTATTTGAATCTAAAAATACAGGTGACTATCACGAAGACATGAACGCAGATGTTTTCGAAGAATATTTTACACAGATGTTGGATCTTATTCCTCCGGGGTCTGTAATTATCATGGATAATGCCAGTTACCATTCACGGCAGACGGAGCGGACGCCTACGACTGCTTGGAGGAAAGCTGATATAATTCAATGGTTATCCGGAAAAAACATTTCTTTTGAAACAAATATGGTGAAACAGGAACTTTTGACACTTGTCAATCTTAATAAAGATCAGAAAAAATATGTTATCGATGAAATGGCAACAAATCGCCAAATAACGGTACTACGGTTACCACCTTATCACTGTGAACTTAACCCAATCGAATTAGTCTGGGCGCAGGTAAAAGGAGATGTAGCGCGAAATAATACGACGTTTAAATTAAGTGACGTGAAAATTTTGTTAAAAAATTCCTTGGAACGAGTAACTGCAGATAACTGGCAAAGATGTATACATCATGTACAAAAAGAAGAGGAGAAAATGGAGGAACTCGATAATTTAATTGACGTTACTGTGGAACCTATCGTTATCAATCTAGGAGACGAAGATAATTCATCAGAATATTCAGAGGATGAATTTTAATATACCTACTTTTTTATTTTCTTTATTGTACATTTATACAACACTACATTTACTCACCATAATTTGAATTTTCAAAATACATATATTTTTGTGTGGAATAAAAGTCTATTCATTAAATTTAAATAAATATTTTGATAATATTGAATAATTGTATTTGAATTACTAAAAACCCTCTTAACCCGGTTATGATGCTTAAAGTAGCCTCATGTTTTGAAATGCTGTTTTTATATTGTTTACTTATAAGAGAAATGGACCGAGAAATTGAAGCGGCATAGACAAAGACGGATTGTCGGGGATTAAATTTTAGCTACCTGCTACAATTTAGTACAGTCCGATCGCACAAAGTTTTTTTAAAAGTACACCTCATCCTATACCGATAATACATAATATACAAATATTAAATATAAACAGCAGTACTACATTTATTTACGATTTGCATACGTAATAAGCTTTTATTACTCTCTTTCATTTCTAAACAGACTATAGAACGTTTTTTCCGTATACAAAACTGGTGCAAGAACTGAATAATTTGTATGTAACTTATCCCGTTCTTGCACCGACCTATAGTAGGTGTAAGTCTTCAATTAATTGTTTTTAAGTACACAACTCAATCAGGATAGTTATATAATAAAATATTTGTTAATCTATCAAATGAGTATCATCTGTAGCCCTAATTAAAACAACTATCCCACTAGTTATCAAGGAATATAAACATATGTGTCTACTGTAAAATGTTTGCTTTTATACACAATGTTTACTAACATGGACGTGTAAAATTCGGTCATAAAAAGTACCTACAACTTAAACGGTAGAACCTAAGTTAAACAATGTTCCGTTCCATGACTAACCTTTTTATTTGTTTATAAATGTTCAGCGGAATGTAATTACCTACTTCACTTAATCTAGAATCAAGGTGACTGTTTAATTTTCTTTCTTTACAAAGCTGCAAGATTAAATTTAATAGTGTTATGTATCTGTTACTTTTTTATAGATTTAAATCTTTTTAACTTATTCATTTCTGATTACAATATGTCAAAATAGGGATTGGTTATTCGAATTTGTGGGAAATAGTGTGAGAATAGTATAATTAACTATACTGACTTCCCATTGTCTGTGGGAATCTATATTATCGGAAAGTACAGAAAGAGAAAAAACTGATCTCGTATTCATTTGATTTATACTTACAGGGTGCTACTTATTTTCGTACCACTTTCGAACAATTAGTACCTCAGATGTTAAATAAAATGAATGAATTTAAGGACAACCATGTTTCAGCTATTTCTTTAAGGGTAGAATCAAACGGCGTCATTTTTTTCTTAAAATCATAGTTAGCTGTGGTCTAGAAAACGGTCAAAATATTTTCAAAGGTATACTTGATTCCGAGAAAAAAACTTCCATAAATAATATTAAATCTTGGATTTTTTAAACAAAAGTTTTATAATGATAAAAAGTTGTTTTCTTCTTTATTGGCACAATTTATAATCAAAATAGTATTTTTCTATTAACTGCGTGAACACATTTTTATATTATCTGACAAGAATGCCTTAACTAGATAAACACTTTTAGAAACTAGTCATTATATAGAGCTATTTGTTCAACTACAAAAGATCCACTTGGTAACTAATAACGTTTTCCTCTTCTTTGAGAACCGCTTTCATAATTTTTTTATTAAAAATCTGGCTATGTAGAGCCTTAATCACACCACTTAAAAGGCCAATTTATCAAATTTCATCAACTTGTAGTAGGTACATTATTTTATACAGACATAAATTTCTAAATTTATTAAGCTTATGTTTTAATTTAACAATCATCGGAAATGTTTGAAGATAACAAAAAATTGTCAAATGCATATACACATACTCCATTTTTACTAACTATAATTAGAAACGTCGGTAACTAATTTTCATCATCTTCAGCCATTTCATACGCCTCTTTTTGACTCAAACAGAAACTTAATATGTTTAAAACTTTCAACCAGTATAAAAAATGTAATGCGTTATAATAACATAATGAAATTTGAGATAAGGTTTTAAGTTATGCTGATTAAGACTTCGTAGTCAGATTTTTAATGAAAAAAATTCTAAGGTAGATTTTTTATGTTAGACATATAAATAATTGAAATAAAAAGGCAACAATGTAACATTCTACAAAAATTATTATGCATTTTTCAATACAAGAAATATATTTATTATACGTGTATTTTCTATCAATTTTTATGTTGTCAAATAAAAACATTCTATTTTATCAATTATTCTTACTAAAATTGGTTTGTAATGATTTTATTAATTAAAAGTATATTTTTTTAGGGTTTATATTTTCAATTCAAAATTTATTTGAAATCATTATTTAATTTTTTCGGTACTATTCTACTCAACAACCACATAACCTTGGCCTTCCAGAAAATTCTCCAGTAATCCTACTGCCATAAAGGAAGATGCCTCCTACCTGTATATGTCGCAGTGAGCTCCCAAAATTAGGAAACCACCCAGTAGAAATGCTCTGAGAAGCATCGTTGTACGGATTTTTCGCAGTGCACTCGATTATCACTGTGTTACTCGCTGTCAACTTTTTTGCTGAACTACTCTACCATTCTTCGAGCTGCCTCAATATATAAACACCAGGTCTGGTGGGGCTTGCTTCTAAACACGGCTGAAGATAAAACCGTTAGGTCAGCGCCGTCTGCTTTGTTTATCCTCTGGATGTTTATAGGGTGGATCCAAAAACCCACTGCCTCAAATTTACCTACATATTTCTCCTTTAGTATATCAAATAGCTCAGAATGGATGTTAATTTTCAAAATTATCTACCCAAATTTTACAAGAAAGACCAAAAATTACTAAATTTATGTACTACAGAAAGCATAGAAATATATATTTTAAGGGTACTAAGCTAGTTCAAATATATTTAAACAAAATTCTAAAATCTTATCAAATGATACATATGATTTTAGTAATTTATTTTAATATACAGCGTGTCCCGTTCATGTTTAAAAAAACTTGTTTGCAAGTTTCTTATGGGAAAATGATAGGGGTAGTTCAAGTAAAGTTTTTTTTTCGAGACCTGTTTTCGAAACACAGTGTGTTGAAGTTGTTACTTTCCAAATGGTTTTCCTTAAATATCTTTAATTCGGTTAAAGATAAAAATGTCAAAATTTGTACACGAGTAAACATCAACTGTGCGTTAAGAAAAACGGTTTCTTTCTGAACAGCAGTGTCGCCGATGCAAGTAATTGAAGGGGTACAATCGAAGAAAAAATATGTTAAAAGTCAAAATTTATTACATTTCTAAACTCTAAAGGATACTATAAAAAAAAGGTATACTTGTCGAAATCCGGTAGCATGTACCAATTTCGAGAAAAATTAAGTTAAGTAATGTTTTTTGCTCACATAAAGCGGCACAAATACATACATTAACAAAATATTAAATTGAAAGAGGACCTTACCATTGAATGAGTTGAAGACATTTAGCTACCAACAGTATTAGCATTTAAGACTATAATTTTAATTTCTTACCTATCACATGAAACAGTTAAATTGTAAAACATTTTATTAACTAAAAACAAATTAAAATTTATTTTAATTTTCATATTGTTGTAAACTAACATTTAAAAAAGTAAATCAAAATAAACAGATTATGGTTATTAATTATCTATTATTAACTAATTTTAGATTTTGTAAACTACTACACTACAATTACTAAAATAAACAGTGATTGTTGAATGGACTGAATTGTCGATGGACATGAATGATTAAAAAAAGTGATAAAACAGAAAAATATTAGGAAACAGACTCGAAGACATATAGAACAAAACAGCTGGACAATTAAATAAATGTGCAAACGCGAAATACTGCAGTAGATACTGAAATTGTCCCCCACTTCCTTCTATGCAACTTAATTTTTCTCGAAAATGGTACATGCTATTGAATTTCGACAAGTATACCTTTTTTTGTAGTATGCTTTAGAGTTTACAGAACTGTTTAGAAATGTAATAAATTTTAACTTTTAACATATTTTTTTTCGATTATACCCCTCCAATTACCTGTATCGGCGACACTGCTTTACAGAAATAAACCGTTTGCACATTATTCTTAACGCACAGTTGATGTTTACTCGTGTACAAATTTTGATATTTTTATCTTTAGCCGATTTTTAGATAATTAAGGAAAACCATTTGGAAAGTAACAACTTCAACACACTGTACCTCGAAAACAGAGCGTCAAAAAAAACCTTTACATGAACTACCCCTATTATTTTTCCATGAGGAACTTGCCCACAATTTTTTTTTAAACATGAACGGGACACACTGTATATACATATAATAAAATATTTACATAAAAAACAATAAAATAAGACACACTCTATATAGCACTATAATGCAGTCTTGTGAACGTATTACAGAACCTAGTGAACCAACTCAATGTCAAAATAACCATTTTTTTACCACTTCGTGTAAAGAGCATCAAAATCTTCATCAACGGTCTTGTCAAACATACAGTACTATACAGGATTGTAATGTAGACAGGTAAACGAATTAGACTATTAATGAATGAGGTAATGATCAACTTTACATTAACATTTCTTAACTCTTTGGTTAAATTAGTACTATATAGCACTGAGGTACAGTCTGGTAAACATTTACAGTAGTATGTACAATGCCAAAAACATTATTTTATAGGCCATTTAAGGTAAAAAAATAAATAAGGTCTTTTAAATTAACGAACATCAAAGTCTGCAACATGTTATAATAACAATCTACTATAAATGTATCTAGTCTAGGCACATAATAATCAACTTACAACATCAAAAAAATCTTGAAAATGTAACTGTTATATTATAAAATCAGATCTATTAAAAAAAAATGAAATTAAAAAAAATGAAAAACGCTGAAATTACATTACCTACAGTACTATTGAGCAGTTTAATGTATTCAGGTAAACATATTGCAGTACTAATCAGGTAATAATCAACAAAATAGCCTTTAAAATTTAACTTTCTTGATCATTTGCGGTAAATAAAATAAAATCACGTCTATTAAGTTAGTGAACATCGAAATCTGTATCTTGAATGCTGTCAAATCAATAATATTACACTGTACTATGTAACGTAAACTTATTATCGGTCAGGAAATAATCAACTTTTATACAACATAAAAATAGCCTTGAAAATTGAATTTCCTTGACCGTTTCGTAAAATAATAAAATCAGGTCTGTTAAAAAACATCGAAGTCTGTATCTATTTTGCCGCCAAGTCATATCAATAACATTATATTAATGAAGTCAGGTAAACATAGATATTACAGTACCAGTCAGGCAATGATCAACTTCATGTCAAAATAGAACTGAAAAAATTATCTTTCCCGACTGTTTCGGATAATTAATTAACTCAAGGTTATTAAGTGAAATAATCTGAAACTGCATCTACATATAGTGTTTTATGTTAAATCAATATAATAGATTCATAGTCAAAATAGCCTTGCCGATTTTAGATAATATTTTACAGCACCTTTTCTAAGTGTCCGAAATTTTGCATTACCATTGTTGGTACGTACACCTATTGCACTCGAAATTTTAAGCGAAGCAGTAACAAAGCGAATAGAATCTCGTAAAAAATATACTAATCTCAGTCGGTGAAACAGAATGTTCTGTTTTAATGTAATCTTGATCTTATTGTTTTATTTCACTGAATAAGGAAATAAAATTATTGTTACAAACGAAATTACTGGTCATGTGACTTGAAATCATTTATGAATGTTCCGTATATTAAATTATTATTATCTAACGACTGTATCAGCTTGCCAACTTGCATCTTGCATTTTGCCTCACCGTGTACTGGCCATGGAAACAACACCGGTCTCATCTCAATATGAGATCAAGAACCGGAGAGAGGAAAGTCGATGATTCACTGAATTCTGCACAAATCTGCAAATATCATACAATCTAGAGAAGAGATAGCAGAATCAGCTGTGTCTGTATAGAATAAAATTAAGTTAATTATTTTTTGCAATGACATATCCTTTATAAAAGTAGGTAGGTACGGTGAAAATAAATAACTAATTAATTAATTAACAAATTCCAAATAAATGATTCTGATTTAAAAATTGAACCGTTATTACTCTCAAAGTGGGTGAAATAATAATATTGCAATGTCAGGTCCATAGTTCATGCGTAATTGAGGGCAGGGAAGACCGGAGTAAAGAAGAATAATTTCTTCATATTTTTTTTAATGTTATATTATTCATACGGGATGTTTCAGAAAAACATGTACCATTCTAGAGATAATAAAATATGAAAAAACATGATATTTTTATATACAGTGTGGTTCGAATTTTATAGAGGAAACTTCAAGGGCAGACAGATCTCTTTAAAATAATGTGTTTGCCTTATTGGAATAGCCCCGTTTTAGAGATACAGGGTGTTGAAGTTGTTAAAAAAAATGATTTTTTGTTTATATCTCCGGAATCTATTAACCGATCTCAATAAAATTTAGTACACATAATCTATGATAGTAGGCCTTACATTCCATAAAATATTAGCTTTAAAGGTTCAACTAGTGGTGTACAACTGGACAGGGGTCACCCCTTTACAAAAAAACCTACGCCACTGCATTTTTTACAAGTCATTGTAACTGATTTATATTCTAATGCACAAAATACGTAAAAAGGATAACTTCAATTTTTTCCCTAAGGTTCATCGTTCTCAAGTTATTCGTACCAATACAATCCTCTTGTGGCGGATACTTCTAAGCATAATATTACAAGAATATTGCTTAAAAGTGAGTGCAATTTGTAAGCACATCAACAAAATTATTTACACTCCTTTCTACACCACCTGTGAGGTACTGTTCCTGGCGTGTTTCAGTTTTCCCTGGAGGGCTAATACTCTTTACAAATAAGAACAATTTAAATCAAAATAATAATAAATATATATTTACCAAGCAACAGCAACTAAACAAGAAGCAAAATTAACGTTAAATATTTACAACAATTGTTCAAAATGCGAACCACCCACATCCATACATTTCTGGAATGGAATTAATTGAAGCTAATATCATGTGGTGGTTTTCTTTTAATTCATTATACCCGTTCTTCTATTTGTTGCAGTAGTTGTGGTCTTGTATCTGTTGGAGTAGAATAAACTTTACTTTTCAGATAACCCCAAACATAAAAGTCCAGGGGGTTTAGATATGGCAATCTGGCTGGCCAAGATACTGGACCCTCTGCATCATTATGGTTGACATTGGCATTTGGTCTTCTACCTATATCCATCGCCCCATATAATTTTCATTAAGCCATTCTTATATTATTCTCCCAGAATGCGCAGGAGCACCATCCATTGTATCCAACTACTTTGTCGTACATACATGGAACATCCTCTAATAATTCAAATATATGGTTTTCTAGAAAGTTTAGAAATGACTGGGAATTTAGACGAGTTGGCAAGAAGAAAGGTACACAAACTTTATTGCGAATAATTCCGAGCCACACGTTCACAGAAAATTCGTGTTGAAAAGATCTTGTCCGAATTTCATGAGGGTTTTCTGGTGACCAAATATGCAGATTGTGAAAATT